TCTCATTAGTCATTTATTGACATTCATGAATAGCTGAGAGGCCTGAATTGTATAGCACAGTAAATGTAGTAAACAGCTTAGGCAGGGCTAAAATTGAAAAAAAAAAAAGACACCAGTTAACAAAAAGCTTCCCTATTAACAAATCACCTACTTAGCAAACAGAAGATTTAGACCCGTTAGTACCAAATGTAAGTTGCTCAGATCATGAAGATATTTAGCTAATGAAGTTGCTTTACTAATTCATTAGGTCGTTGTCATCTTTCTCACAGATGCTACTTTAAGGTTGTGTTGTGACTGGTTGATCTTGCTGGATGTTTCGGTAGACATTTCTCATGAAGGGTGAAGAGCTATCAGAGACATGTAGAGTGTTGCTGAAGAGCTCGATCTAGAGACAAGACATCAGACAGGTTAATGAAATACTAATTATCACTGCCAGTAATGATGGCATGTTTGTTTATTATGAATTAATCTCAAATCTTATCTTTTTACTATTTACTATTTACTATTTTACTACTATTACTTTTTTTTTTTTTTTTTTTGGTAAAGAATTTCCAATGGTCATTGTCCAATCATACATCCTAACGACGTTACTATGTAAACAAGATCCGACAAGCTGGACCCCTGCCAAGCAAAATGGTGAAGCAATGTGCCTACCTGGTGAACTGATTTCAAACTTAAGATGTAGCTTTTTGTTTTGGAAATAGTATAAGGTAATACTTCCCGACAGATGTGAGGACAGGTCTAGAATCTAGTGGTTTTTAGTGTTATTCATTTGAAAAAAAAACAAAAAAACAAAAAAAACTGTTTAAACTGTGAACAAGACTTGCCTCATCTGCTTACATTATATCATTTAGCACTCACAAAACAAAGACTCAAAAGTTGTTCAATTACAAATTTGTCATTAAATCGTGTGAATAATTGAATTGTTTGCATAACAGAGAAAATGTTCTAATAACGATTGTAGTTTTCACAAGGCCATGTATTAACTAGGTAGGTAGCTAGGTACCTAGTAAAGCTAGGTAGTAGTAAGGTAGGAATACTCATTTGGTTACCTCACAAAATGAGAGTTTTTTTTTATTGAAAAACTGTATTTGCAGGTTATAGCATTTTTAATAGGTCTTAAAAATCTTACCAACTCTTCACTAATTTCTATTGGCTCCTTAAACACAGTCCACACCACAGCTTCGTTGCACGAGGGGGTAGTCAGGGAGCCAAGGTAGCGATAATACTTTGTGCGATCCACCCCTTCCAGGAGATCATCCAATGAAATACCAGGCCTCATTTCAACAGAGTCACCTGAGAACAAAAGTAACCTGCAGCTAATTTACCTTGTATTTTAATACAATAAGACTGCTAGAAAAATTAAACAAATCTCACCTCCCTTTGTGATTTTTGACAGATAAGAAGCCAAATTTCTCCAACTCCTAGGTTGATTAGCTGGAGCTGAGCTTCCCTGAAAAATATAAAATATATAAACATAAAATATAAAATATAAACAGAAATTGTTATCAACTACAAAAGAAATGGCAACACATCAATAAATATTGATTTTTGACCTAATAGTTAAAAACACATTATGCTCTTAGTATTTGTATTGTTGTTGTTATTGGCTCTACACACATGTTTTTTTCCTGTATTTTTTTAAATGAAAGTCTTGAATTAAGGCTATACTAATAAAGTTCGGCATCTCACCTGAATAAAGAAACCAAGAGCAGCCAGACCTGTGGAGTCTGCAAGTCCCAGGGAGATGTCTCCATTATATGATGACTTCATGTTCACAATATGCAACTGAAACATATTTAATACCTAATTACATACAGTACATCTGCCTTGTGTATGCAGAGGGGTCATAAAGGTACTGTTTTAGATTTGTTAGATCAGAGGTGTCAAACTCATTCTGGTTCAGGTCCACATACAGACTAATAAGATGTCAAGTGGGCCAAACCAATATTACCTACAGTATAAGTAACAATAAGTCCATATTTTTTCCCTTTGTTTTCATTAGTGATGTCTGATAATATCCGTCAATATTAGCATAATTATGTAATATCTGTAAGAATCGTTATCGGTTTTTCCTCCAAAATTTAAATGCCTGAGTTTCCCAAAATGATGTGTGCTCTAAGATGCATCAGTGCTCTAAAGAACTTTTATTTAAACACTATTGCAGTACCATCCTTTATTGCAGTCACCACAACTCCTCGCTACCCCTCCCATATCCGTAACTGTTAACTCAACTTCATAACAAATGAACAGAACATGATTAACGCTAAACCACTGTCTATTACTTACATGGTAACTTTGCAGCTCATTTTATTAACCAATATTGATAATCAGGGCAGAATGCTGGTGCCAGCAACTCATACAGTGGTTTGTACAGGGTTGATTTTGGCCTACGGGTTATATGTTTGACACCCCTGTGTTCGATGATTATTCGGCAACCAATATGAAAATTTCTAAGATTGATATCCAATATTTACTAGTCTTAAAATGGCCTTAAAATTACACAAATAAAACACATGCAATTGTAAATTAAAAAAAAAATGGAAACAGAAGAAACTGTACCTCCATGGGGTAACGCTTTCCATCCACTGTGTGCTCAGAGCCAGGAGTAGACGCACCATTTCCCCAGTGCAAGTGGAACTGAAGACTGTCATACTCCTCAGATAGGCCTCCTCCTGAAATCTTCACACCACTATCAAAGCTGACCTTTACTAGAATGGATAAACATGGATGTGCAAAGGGAATTAAAATGAAGCACTCTATTAATATGATGAGAAATCTTGGGATTTTTCAAAATGTTCATTGATTATTTTAACTTGGCTCTATAATTTGAAAATAAAATTCACAAGACGGAAGTGCGGACACACCCGTCTTGCCAGTATTCTTGATGCTTTTCAGTGATGATTTGCTGTTAAAATTCACAAAATTGAAAGGCGACAGGCTGGAATCAGGTGCTGCAGCTGATTTGTCGATGTTGATAGGTGACTGCCTGCTCCCAGCACAGTAATCGGTGGCAATATCTGGCCAGGTGGAATCATCTGTAAATACAAACTTCACTTTGAGGCTCTGTTACATTCAAAATGAATATGAACAGAGATACAATGATAACCATTACTCACCACATGTTGGTAGATGATAACACCAGTCTGCAATTGAAATTAATCCATTAGTAATTATATGTAACAAAATATAGTAAAGTTAACATAACAAAATATATTAAAATTAAGTTATACATTTTAAAAGATTTAGCAATAGAGTATATATTTTTGACATCTATCTATCTATCTATTGGAGGATTTCATGTGAGTTATTAGATATAAATTTAATTCAGCTAAATTTATTCTTAATTTAACTTGAATTTCCTACTTTTAAGAACTTTTACTTCACAGCTCTAGCATTTACACAAAAGGCACATCCCGTGCAAAATGAAATACAATTTAAATGATCGGTTATGACAGTAACAATGGAGTTACGGGTAGATAATGCTGTACGAATATCTATAAATACACCAATCTTCATGTAATATATAATAAAAAAAAAACACCTACCCACTGAATTGCCATCACAATTGATTCTTGATATGAGGACACACACAAAAACTGAAGTTACAAAGACCTTCATCTATAAATACAAACAATGGTTATTGTCATTTAATAAAGCAGAACCAATACCAAAATCTTTAGTTATCAAACTAAAAGTTATTTAAAATAGTACCTTTAACAAAGCTTTTGTCCCTGTCGTCTCACACTTCTAGCACTTCACTCCCTTCTTTTATGTCCTGTTTTATCTATAGATGCTACGCCCTCCTCTAAAATTTTCTAAATATGTCCCACCCATTGGATCAGATCAAACCTATGCAATAATTAATTGAATTGACCTATTTGCATTGTCAGTGTCGGAACTTGACTTGCCAAGAACTGAAATGAAAAACCATTTGATTTGATTCCAATAAACTTTGTACTCACCTTGCCCTCAAGTTGCGCGCCTGCGTTTGGTTCCGCCTACCTTGGCTGGTGGAATGTCCTACTTTCATACAGACACGGCTGGTTTATCTTGTTTGAAAAAATACACCAGGTACTAAAATGAAGCCAACACCTGGATGCAATTAAACAAATATGTGACAGTGTACCACTGGTTAATTACTTACCTGATTGCTAGATAATAATATAAAACAAAATAAAACTGTAACAGATTAACTTTACTACTTTATAAGGGTAGTTGAAATCCAAATGTAAATCACATTAATTAATTTTCTAAAGTTAATCTTATTATGTTTGTTTTCTTTTTATGTATTTTATTGCATGGACAGAATGATGAGCACTGTATTAAAGTAATTTAACCATCCAATGTCACAACAAATTCAAAACCTGGCAAAAAAACAAAAAAACAAAAACACCTCTGATTCTAATTCTGATGATGGGAACTCATCATTTGCGACTCGGAATGGAGTTGCACACAGAGAGACTTCAGTAATTAATTACTAATTAAAAGACTGTAGTATCAAAATAAAGGATGATGGATTTACGACATGTGATTTTAACAGTGACCTAAAACTTTATCTAGAGATGTCAGTCACATTAACGCATTTGGACGTAATGATATAAAACAAAATAAAACCTTAACAGATTAACTTTACTACTTTATAAGGGTAGTTGAAATCCAAATGTAAATCACATTAATTAATTTTCTAAAGTTAATCTTATTAGATTAGGAGAGGAGACATTAGTGGGGGAGTTTGGTCGATGCCTTGATAAAAATGAGATGTAGTGCTGATCTTTGTCGAGGCATCGGCGTGGGGCGTCTTTTCGTCGGATGGGCTGGTGTCATGGACTGAAGGGGATGCAGGGTCCGACGGACGCCAGATGATCCTCTGCCAGCGTCACAGCCTCACAACAGCAAAAGTGTCCAAGAAGGATCCTCAGTTGGTGTCATTCTCTAGCCAGAGGATCAAATAGGCCAAGCAGCGCCTGTATGACAGGGGGGCTAGACTATGGCACTTTGTGCTAGGGGATAAGGTTATGGTACTACTCCCATGCTCAGCATTGAAGCTACTCGCCAAGTGGCAAGGGCCCTTTGTTGTCACACAGTGGGTGGGTGATGTTGACTATGAGGTGGGGTGCTCAGATAGGAGAGGAAACACCCAAATTTACCACCTAAATTTACAGAAGGCGCAGGTGGAGCCGGAAGTGGTCGCCCTGGTGTCGGACATGGAAAAGCTCTAGTAGCGCTTTTCAAATGTATTCTCTATTCTCCCTGGGTGCACCACACTCGTACAGCATCACCTAGAAACACCTTCTCCTGATGCACAAACGCAAAGGGGTGCAGAGGGAATTAAAACAGACGTTGGAGATGATATTAATTGAAGAAGAGAACAGTGTCTGGAGCAGTCCCATTGGTTTAGTGGGTAAGAAGGATGGGTCTGTTCGGTTCTTTGTGGATTACCGCAAGGTAAATGAGGTGTCACGAGTTGATGAAATTTGGATCGGTTAGGCACAGCTCAATTGCACTGGATTTAACCAAGGGATACTGGCAGATTCTCTTATCTTCAGAATCCCGGGAAAAACGGCATTCTCCACTACGTACGAATTGTACCAATTCATCACACTTCCGTTTTGGTTGTTTAGAGCCCTCAGTAATTAATTACTAATTAAAAGACTGCAGTATCAAAATAAAGGATGATGATTTATGACATATGATTTTAACAGTGACCTGAAACTTTATCTAGAGAGGTCAGTCATATTAACGCATTTGGACTCGCATGCTGCATACGCTGCTGCTTATTTGGATGATTATATCATTCACAGTAGCTGGTCAAAACACAAGCGGCAGGTGACAGCAGTGCTTATGACTCTGAGGGCTCACAGCCAACCCAGGGAAGTATGTGGTTGGACGGAGGGAGGTACAGTATTTGGGGCACTGCTTGGGGGAGTTTGGTCGATGCCTTGATAAAAGCAGGCAGCAGGCAGGTGTGGCCACAGGTAATTTAAATAGCAGCCATTGTATCCTGTCTGCGGCCCAAGTCAAAAAAACAGATAAGACAGTTTCTGGGGTTAGTGTGGTATTATCGACGCTTCATCCCACAATTCGCTGACCCAAAAAAAAACAGATAAGACAGTTCCTGGGGTTAGTGTGGTATTATCGGCGCTTCATCCCACGATTCGCTGACCTGGCCAGCACCTTGATAGATCTGACCCGCAAGAGTGCTACAGATCCAGTCCAGTTGACAGGGTGGTGTCAGCAGGCGTTTGAGCAGCTGAGGAGGGCCCTCTGTGATAAGCCACTTCAATTTACACCTAATTTTGCTCTCCCCTTTATGTTGCAGGCTGACGCGTCAAGTATTGTAGAAAGAGATGTCTACAAATGTGTTAACAGTGTTAACAAGGCATTAAACTCCGTCTCAGGGGATTTATTGTAATAAATGTTTGTGACCATGGCAAGTCCAACAACGAATCTCATCTGAACATTCACCAACAAATCCTCCCTGATACATGCTGATCCTTTTTATAGTCACAGACAATGACGTTACATACCATCCGGCTGTTATTCTGACAAACACTTTTTAGACACAAACATGAAGATGTTACCTAATATTTGGCTCAGTTTATTATTTGGCTTTGGTTATCCAGCTCTTTCATAGTTACCAAATAACATGCTCAGCTTGACCCGATAAACATGTCAAAATATGGCAACAGGTTCTTCTTGTCAGTGCTTGGCGTCTCCTGTTATCCTTTTTGTGATTTGTGATTTGCGAAAATTATTTTACTGTTCTCTGGTGTATATGAGTAATAATCCTGCTGGCTGTCATTTGCAGGAAAAAATCCTCCTATGGCCCCATCCCCACTCTATTGTATCATCCATTAATGGAGACCAACATCCTGGGTCACACTGAGAAAATATTTTTTCCCTATCCCCTTAGCCAACTATTTTCTTTGTGATAACTACAGATTGGTTATACTTGGGGATATGCATGACTATGAGTAACTTAAAAACATACAAACATCCATTTCTACCACTTCAATCTAACACATTCAATACTGAAACATTACACTTTCATGAGCACAGTTTAAAAGTATCACATAACAATGTAAAAGTATGACAAAACATTGACATTGTCAATCAGCAGTCCTTGAAATCACCAACTTTTGCCGTCTTCCCGTCCATTCGTGCCATATTTCAGTATATAAAAACAGATATCTTATGGCATAGTTCAGATGAACTCTCTCTTGTGAGTCAATTAGTGTCCAACTCGCCATCGTCCTTACTACTCCAGGAAAGAAAAGTAAAAGTTAAAAACAATTTATGAAACTCCAACTGAGTCATTTGTAGTTTTTCGTCTTCCACTGCCTGCCTGTACCACATTCCTTTGATACATTTTCTCATGATGGGTATGATGCAACAATGTAGGGTGACAACAACAGTTATTACTCTGAATATGATAACAACAGCCGCAATACATAAAGCTCCCCATTCTCCTAAGCTATTGCTTCTAGTTCTTGCCACACATATGCATTGTGGTTGATGTCACTTCCTCTGGAACACTGTACACCAGGTCCTCTGGTTTCTCCGTACATCCCACCTTCTGCTCCAGGTTCTCCTCTCTGGCTTTTTCCTGCACATAGATAGTTCTGTAAATCATAGTTAGATACTTCATGTATGCTTTTAACTCCTTTTGCAGTTGTTCAAGTGGACGTCCTTTAAAGGGACCTCTTAACTGTGGTGCTGGCATGGGTTGACCCATTAGCATTTTATGCAGTGTTAGTCATGAGATTCTATGCGTTTGCATGTGATAGCTCACTGGAATATGTCCTACAGATGTTTTCACACTTTTCTTCACATTATTTTGAGCACATACATATTGTATATAGGGCAACCAGTACCCCGTTGTCTTCTTCATCACCTCCCCCCTTCCACAGTGATCTACACTGTGCATCTCAGAAATCAGAATTGACAACGACGAAAACCTTGTAGAATTCGAATGTAGGTGTATTGTTTTCCTCTTTATGTGAATGCAAATAAATATTGAGAATCTTCATCTAAGGGAACGCTAAGCAATACAGAACACAAATCAACTATAAAAATCTGGCATTTGGAGGCACATTGGTGAGCAGTGTGTGAGGGTTTAAACCTGTATTTGGATTTGTCAGATTTCAATACAGGAAATATTGGAATTTTGATTTCATCATTTTCTGTGGTTTTCTTTACTAGAGCCGTCATTTGAATTAGTTGCTTTTGTACCTAGAATCCTATTGTCTCAACAAATCAGTTTGACACCGGTATGCTAGTGGCATGCTTTGGACTCACACACGTGTGAGTGGCTCCAATGTCCACCAACATTGGTATTTGTTTACCTTCATTAGCTTCCACTTCTAACATTACTAAGGCATCCCTAGTTTCTAAAATTGGGTCTCCCCAGGGGCCTACCAGTCCTCTGGCTTCACGTTGCATGGCCTGCCACGGCCCTCTCTGCCCATAAGATTGTTAAAACACATTGACAACTATCGGTGGCTGTTCCATTGGTGCTGGCTCTTGTAAAGGTGGTCGTCTGAAATGTTTGGTATCCTTGGACCTTTTTACCATCACTTGTGACATTTTGTTCTTTCCTTGCAGCTCGTTTAATTGTAATTGTGTCAGTTTACGCTGCAAGTTTTTATCCTTCTAGTCTTTTTATTCATCCCTTCGATACTTTTCTACGGCGTCCACAACGTTGTCATCAAATTGATGATGTGGCATCAATGAGAGGCCTACCACCTCTTCCAGTCTACTCTGGACTGGGGCTGGCATTGCTTCCACA